TCTTGTTACATCCCTTGATATGTAAGGCTAGATTGTAAAGGGCCACACAGCTTTCACTTTGTTCACTGAAATACCTGCTCTTGGCACCCTGAGTCAACTTGTGAGAGTCTGATACCCTGAGGCCACCTTGACAAAGGGCTGCAGGTAGGTGCTCCAACCAGTGTTCCAGCTAAGCACAGCCTTCCTGCCATCCATGCAAAGGCACCAGACGTGGGACTGAAGCTGTTACCCTCCAGACCAACACATCCGCCAGCCGAATACCACTAAGAGATCTCCATCAGCACTGCACGGAACAGTTTTTAGGATGATCCAGCCATGTGCTTAGTCGCTCAGTCATGTCTAACTCTTTGCGACCCTTCGGACTGTAGCCTGTCAGGCTCCTCTGTCCATGGGATTTCCCAAGCAAGAATACTGGAGTAGGTTGCCATTTCCTTCTCCAGGGAATCTTCTCGACCCAGAGATCGAACTAATGACTCTGGTGTCTACTGCATTGCAGGTAGATTCTCTACCCGCTGAGTCATCAGGAAAGCCCAATAAAATAAAACAAAAGACACTGCATATTTTTACCGGAGGCCACGGAAGAATTCCAAGCTTAGATGTGCTGTGTTATGATAGTCGCTCAGTTGTCTGTGACTCTGCCACCCCATGGACTGTAACTCACCAGGCTCCTCTGTCCATGGGGATACTCTAGACAAGAATACTGGAGTGAGTTGCCATGCCCTCCTCCAGAGGATCTTCCCAACCCAGGGAGTGAATCCAGGTCTCCCACATTAAAGGCAGATTCTTTACCCCCTGAGCCACCAGGGAAGCCCATGCCCTGTCCAAATTCCTGACCCACAAAATTATGAGGTAATAAAATGATTACTGTTCTAAGTCACTAAATTTGGGGGCATTTGCTATGCAGCAATAATTAACAGAAAGAGGAAACCAGAAGGTGTAACCAGTGTTGTGCAGTAGCAGATGGAATTTTTAATGGAGCCTGAAACTTTAAGACAAAGAAGCCACTTGACTATGTGCACAAAATGCAAGACCTTGGAAAGAATGTGTACAGGTGAAGAGTCTTAAAGTTTAAGTTTTAAGCTCCATTGTGTCACAATAGATCCAGGACTGACTGCCCAGGGCTCTGCCCCAGGACAATGACCTTTAAAGGGTGCAAAGTTTTAAGAGAATAATTTTAATATGCCGGGCTTCTTGGCATGAACACAAATGGTGAGAGGCAGAACTTCCAATGTCTGGATCTTGACACCCTTCCCTGGTCCATGGCCTCTACTAAGAGAGTCCTGTGTCCTATGGGGTTGGGGGTGGGGGGGGAGGTAGTGCTGACCCATTCATCCTCCCAGGCCCTGCCGCCACTCAAATGTTGACTCTACCATTTTGGTGTCCATTCCTAGAGGCCCGATAAGTCCTTCCAAGTCCTGTAGTTTGAATATTGAAAAAGTGTTCCTCACCCTCCAACCTTGCCTCTGTTTCAGAAGCCCACATTCTGAGTATCACCCTCAGTGAGTCATCCAGCCCAGACATCTGCAAATCAGCCATGAGCTCTCCTCTCGGCTTACTCCCCACATTGGATCACCAGTGGAGAGTCTGGCCCCAGCAGTGCTTGCAGTCAACCTCTCTCTCCCTGTTCCTGCTCCCTCTAGTCATTTTTGGTGCTACCATCTCTCACAGCTCCTCCTCAGAGATGTTCAGCCTTCCTCCTAACAACCTATCCAATCCAGATATTCCCAACAAAGGTTGAATCTTCCCAACACAGGGATGGAATCCGGGTCTCCTGTATTGCAGGTGGATTCTTTACTGCCTGAGCCACCAGGGAAGCCAATACAAATGCAAATCTCACCAGGCTCTGCTATCTGTGTCCGCCGGTACCGCACTCTGAAAGCCAGGCCCCTTAGACTGGAGTTCAAGGATCTCCATGACCTAACTTCTAACCTCTAATCAGAGCCTGCCCCCAACTCCTTCCTCTCCACCTGCTCCTTTACAGGGACACTTCACTCCCTCCCTCACCAATTTCCTTCCATGAATTGCAATGCTGCCCCTCATCAAGCTCCTTGGAACCCAGTTGCAGCCTTCCCCTGTCTCAGAAGCATCTCCAGAACCCACTCTCTTCAATCTGATGACCTTTCTCTGTGGCCCCTTGCCCTGGGCAGAGTGTCTCCCATAACTCATGACACTTTAGAGAACTTATAAGCTGAATTTGTCCCAGTCACTCGATCCCTCTGAGCCATTTCCTCCTCTGTGAATTGGGACAACGTCCATACCAAAGAATCTGAGAATTACAATAACAGAAGCCTAGGGAGTAGGCACTGCGCAGTGAGTTCCTACAGAGCTAAGAGTTTTGTGCACAGTATCTCATTTAATCCTCACAGCACTCAACGTGGCACAGGCTACCACAGCCCTATTTAACTGAGAAGGAAACTCAGGTGAAGCACCTTGCCTAGCGTGCCTTTCATTGGCAGACCTCCCTGAACTCCCTGGCAGACCTCCTTGGCACTGGTCAGCACACCCTCCTTGCCTGCTTAGTTGTCTCCTGATTCGCAACACAATTTTTATTGGGTAAGGATGGCACCTGTCTTGCACTGGGTTTGGCACTCAGTAAGCACTGAGTAAATACTTGCTGACTTCAGTGATCTGTGAATGAATAGCCCTGGCCAACGACAGCCTGGATCCCAGCTCTTGGCTCTTCCTCACCTTCCCCAGCCCTGCAGGGTCCTTGGTTAGTACAGGTCCTTGCTTAGTGCAGGTAACTTGCTTAGTACAGGTTCTGGCACACAGCCATGGAGCTGCTGCTGTTGGGCTGGAAGTGGAGATAATTTTTAAAGACTACTATTTCAGTGATGTTTCCCGCAAGGAAGTCCAGCCCAGGGTCGGCTCCAGCAGGCTTAGAGGAGGGTTTGGAAATAAACAGCCAGTATAGATCAAGAAGGGAACTCCTGTCCCATCTTCCCCTCCCGAGAGAAAAGAGGTTATGCTCCCATCTTTGTCCTCTCCATCAGGGGAGAGAGCACCGCCCAACTCGAGAACCCCAAGCTCTTCCCCAATGCGGATCCCAGCGACCTCAGGCCCCAGTCCCCTCCAGCCCACCGAGGAAGCTCCCTGAATCCGAGGTGCCTCCTCGCCCACCCCTGCCACTCCCACCGGTGCAACGCAGCAACCTGGCCTGGGCGTCCTGGGCTCCTCGAAGATGTCCGACCCTGAAAGGGTCACTGTTTAGTCTTCCTGACTGCTCAGTGGGCCGTGGAGTCTGGAGCGCCAAAAATATAGGCCTTGCCAGGCGCCGAGGCCGTGGCTGACTGTCCTGGGTTTCCATCGGGCCAGCGAGAAGAGGAACCTTGAAACCCCACTACCCCACCCCCTCTAACTTCCACCGCCTGAGAACCGTTCTGAGCTCTATGAGAGAAGACGTTTGAACCTAACGGAGGCCCCGCGGCCTCTCTGGGCGCTAGCAGCGAGTCGTTTCTCCACTCTGGACCGCGTGTGTACACAGGAGCGCGATTTCCGCATAGTCCCCACAGTCGGCCACCTGAGACCGCTTCAAGAAGAGGAGGAGGAGTAGGCCCAGTGGGAAAATGAAAAGGAAAAGAGATCCAAGGTCCCCGGATGGGTGGACAAGTCCCTGGACTACTCTGGATCTCAGTTTCCTGATGATTTGCCTGTGAGGATGAACTAAAACAATGACTTTGGAATCTATGAAGTTCTAGGTATTTTAGAGAATGGGTAACACGGGCCCCTAGGCCTGGCTTGAGGACCATCAGGAACCAAAAACTTCAGAGCACCCAGTATAGATCCCTTCTGAAACCAGGAGATCAAGGCTGATCTTAAGTTCACCTCGAGTGGGGATGAGGGCAGATGCTGAGGAGGGGTGGCTGGAACCCGGAATGAGAGAGACCTGAAGGCATCCGAAAACCTGGAGTTGGGAGGCAGGAGAGCACAGCCTTGAAGCACAAGCAAGTTCACACTTCTAGAAGCTCCGCTCACTTTCTCCTGCCTTCCTCTCTACTGCCTAGGTAACTCTTTCCTCTTTCTTTTCTTTTTCCCCCCTCTCTCCTTTCCTTATCTTCATTGCCTGTTTCGAGCGATCTCTCTCTTGCCCCATCTTTCTTCTCTCGCTCCTTCTCACCGCCCCCCACTTCCAGCTCTCCCTCACCCTCTCACTTTATAACCAAACAGCGAAACCCCTTTCCAATTAAAGTGGAATTAGGCAACTCAATCAAATTAGTTCCCTATTAAAGCCCTTCTTTATTAAACCGTTTTCTTGTCCTGCTATTAAGTTTCACCGCCTGGCGGAACTCGAGTCGGCCCCAGAAGTTTACCTTGGGAAGTCGCCGGCCCAGCCTAGGGGAGGGGGCGCGCCCGGTTTCTCGGAAAGGGGGAGTCACCCAGCTGGGAGCTGAAGGGACGCGGGAGGCCGGAGGAGGGGGTCGGCCCGGAGCCGCCAATTTCCTCCGCTCCGCTAAAGCAGGGAAGGAAAAAGGGGTGCGGAGTGAGGACTGAGGTCGGGTTGGAAAGCGCGTCATCACTGCCGCTCCCACATTACACTGCCTAGGGCGAAGGCAGCACCCCGCCACCCCAAAATAACTCCCAGGCCTCTGACGGAACACGGTCTTAGCCTTCCCGCCCCAGTCGCAGGGTTGTGCCTCGGCTGCAGTACGTTCCAAAACCCAGCAGGGAGGCGCGCGGTGGGCGCCCAGATCTGCGCCCAAAGGAGAACAGGAGCCGCTCTGCCAGCCTCGCAGGATTCCAGGAACAGACAGCACTGGCCAGGCGACCCCGCCGCGGGAGCTGGAGGGACACCAGGTGCCACGCGAGCAGCGGGCGCCACTCCTCCTGGAGGGCTGAGCGCACGCCTCTCCCGGGCGCGGCTGGAAGTCTCCTCGTCCCGCACTCCCGAGGGTCGTAGCACCCGCCGGACCTTGGCCGAGCTTCTCCCGGGCACCGCGGCTCCCGCGAGAAATTAAGATTTCTCAACCCGGCCGCCCGAGAAGCGGGACGGGATTCGATGTTGTTTTCTTAGAAAATAACATTTATTTCTAGCTCATGTCTATGCAAAGGAAAGCACAAAGTGAGCCGTTCTCAGCAGCAGCGTTTCCCGCTGCCGGCCCTTCGGCCGAGGTGTTTGGCGAGTCCGGGGAGGCGGGGATGGGCTCCAGCGGGCGGCTCTGGCTCAGTCACACGTCACTCCGCTCCTGCTTTGGGGCGCACCTTGACCGTTCCTTAGCGAGAGACCGGCCGCAGGCAAGAGGGGCGGGTGGGCAGGATTCGTCTCAAGTTTACGATATATTTCATCTATAAAACCTGATAAGTACAAAGCGCGCATAGTCTAATTTTTTCCGTTTTGTCCTTTTTTTTGCTTGTTTTTGAATATTTTTCACGTTAATACCGAGGTCACCTACAGATTACAATTAATAACTTAGAATTCCATTTTATAACATTATACACTGGCTTGTATATATATGTATAGTTTATATATAGATTTATACATATATAAAAACTCACACTGCACCAAGGAAACCCATGCTTATCGGCATAAGCAACAAAGAGAGCGACAAATACCGCAACGAGGAAAGTGCACCTTAGAATTTGTTTCCTTTTTTTTTTTTTTACAATTGATATCGATATATATGTGTGTCCCAAAGACTCGACTCAGTGCCAAGAGATTTATACATCCTAAATTTATATTTGTTAGAATATTTAAACTTTTTTAAGGAAAGGGGAGACACATAAAGACAGACTATCCTGCCATCCTTTTGCGAGCGTGTGGGCAGGTGGTACGAGCATAGAGACACGAGAGGCAGGAGCTGGCGCGGCGGCTGCAGCCTCTGAATTCGCAAGAATTCCTGGCCTTTCGAAGGGCTGGGGAGCCTTGATGAGGGGGTCGGGGTCGAGGATCTGGGCGGCTCATCCCCTCCTAGAACATCTGCACCCGAAGCTGCTCCTCTCTACTCGGCTCTCCCCACCCACTGTCCAAAACAAAACTGAAAACCACCATGGAGCGAGAGGACCCCAGAAGGGGCGCAGAGCGCGCGCCAGGCGAGGACTGGCCGGCGGCCCGCGGGGACCAGGGTGGTCCCTGTTTGGGGGCCGACAGGCTCGGGGCCGCTCGCCCTACTGCTTCTCAGGGGCGCCGTTGACCATGGGCCCGTACAGGCCGCTGCCGTAGGTCGGCTCCTTGTGCACGGCTGCGGCGGCGGCCGAGCGGTCGCGCATGAGATCGCTGAAGGCGTAGTCCATGGGCGGGCGGAAGCCGAGGGTGGGCACCAGGCCAGCGGTGGAGTAGGGAGCCATGAAGGCCAGGCCGCGGCTGTGCGCCGCCGCCGCCGAGTAGGCCAGGCGCAGGGGGCTGAGGCCGAGCGGCGCGCCCAGCGGGTAGGCGCCGGCATCGGCGCCGAAGTGACTGGCGTTGGGCTGCAGTGGCGAGAAGGCCGAGCGGCTGCTCAGCGAGCCCAGAGCCCCGGGCGCCATGGCGCCGGCCAGCAAAGGTCTGTGGTGCGGAGGTGCGGCGGGGCCCGCCTGCAGCGGCGCGGGGAGCCCCGGGCCCCCGGCGGCCGCGGCGTCTACGCGGCCTGGCCACGCGTCGTCCGCGGCGCCTACCGCCCCCACTGCGGCCTTGTCTGGGGGCACGGTGGGGCCGAGGCTGGCCGCCAGGCCCCCGCGGTGGTGGTTGAGCACCTGCTCGATGGCCTGCACCACGTCGCCACCGCAGCCCTGCAACACCAGCTCCAGGACGCCCCGCCTGTGGCCCGGGAAGACGCGCGTCAAGATGTCCAGCGGCGTCCGCTGCCGTGGACCCGGGCCCCCGCCCAGCCCTGGCGCGGGCGAGGCCTCCGCCTCTTCTTTGTCGGCCTCGGAACCGGATTCTGAACCCAAAGGGCTGGCGGATCCCGGGCTGTCCTCCTCGCCGCCACCTCCGGGGCCAGCACTGCCTGGGCAGCTGCCACCTGCCTCTTTGGAGGCCCGGGCCAGGGGTGACCCCGAAAAGGACTCTCCGTCGCCGTTCTCCGAGCCCGAGCCCGGCCGCACCTCTGGGGACGATGTCCCAGGACCCGAGTCCGCGCCGTCGGGTGATAAGGGCTTTCCCGGCTGCGGCTGCGGGCTGCCTGGGCGGCCTGCCTGAAGCAGCGTCTTGGGGAACAAGTCAAACTTCTGTAACTTGGCCTCTAGGAGGGGAGAAAGGGGTATGTAAGGAGGGGTTAGCACGGAAATGACCGCACCCTGTGGCACCTGAGCCCCAGCTTCCTTTCCCTCTGAGCCCCACGACCCTCATTCACTGAGCTCCAAAGCCCGTCTTTTTGCTCCAACATTCCTTCCCCTCTGAACTCCTAGAACTCTCTTTCCAGGCTGTTAGAGCACTCTCTTTCTGTACCCAGAACCCCAACCACCTATGCCCTGTAAACTTAATGTCCAGGGACCCTCTTCCTACGACTGTGCCTAACGTCTTCACTCTTCCTAGTCTTGCTCTGCTCTGGAGAAGTGGCCTGACCCAAAGTTCAAAAAGCAGCCAACACATGCCGCACCTGTACCAGCACGCTGTACAGAAAGCCTCACTCTATCCCTGTGATTCCAAGAGCCAACCCAGCCCCGGGTGCTCTCTGGCCCTGGGCAGCACAGCCTGTAAGGGAAGGTACCCTGGGCGTTCATAAGATCCCAAACCTCTCTACAGGCAAAAGTAGAGCCTCTGTTTCTAATCCATCCTCTCCAAAATCAAGAGCTTAGAAGTTCTTCCCTCCCAAGCTGGAAGCTGAAACCCCCACTGGCCTAATTCCCAGCCCTACCAAAACAGCCTAAGGAGTCTCAAAAAGAGTAGGGCTGGACAGGGGATAGAGGGGGAAAAGGAAACGGGATTGAGAGAAGGGAGAGGGCGCATACTCTGAGAAAAGGGAGACAAGTGGGGAAAGAAGCTGGAAAAAAGGAGCAGGGTGGTTGATCAGGGAACACTGGAAACAGAAGAAAAGGAATCTCGCCCCGGGGACTGAGGGGTGGAAAAGGAATTCGGTGTCTTCAATACCTAGAATAAACGAAGCGGGGCGGGGGAGGAGATTTGGAGACAGTGGGATTTCTGAAGAGAGTTGGGAAGGAGCGGGGCGAGGGCGGGGGTGGGGAGATTGGGGGTGGGGTGGGTAATCTGCGGCGTGTAGAGAAGCGCAGAAAGAAGGAAAAGATAAGACGCGTGGGTTTTGGCGCTCGGGAGATGACCCAGTGAACTAACCAAGGAAGCTGGGACATCTTTGCGTTTGAGTAGAGGCGTTAAGATTAAAACCTTTACCTGGGGCCTGGGGTGGGAGAAAGGAATAAAGTGCAAATGCTTCAGAATGGGGAGAAAGGAGAGTTTTGTGTGTTTATGCCCCAAATTAGGAGCTGGGTGCGCGGCCAACTCCAGCAGTTTGGGCACTTGGAGAACGGGATTCTTCTCTTTCAGTACCGAGATTAAGTCCCTAAGGCCTCGCACCCGTGGACCCATCCCTGCTCCCTTCTCACCTGAGCTCCCCGCGCCCGCGGCGCCGCCCCCGGTCCCCGCGGGCGCTCCAGCTCCCGGCCCCCCGCCGTCGGCTGCGCACACAGAGCCAAAGACCTCGTAGGCCGGTCGCGGCGGGATGATGCCATTGGCGGCGGCCAGCGCCAGGCCCTCGGCGGTGCCGTAGAGCAGCTGTAACTCGCGCGCCTCGTTCTCTTCCTGCGCCTGTTGCCTGCGCAGCGCCACCTGCGCCGCCATGACGCGCTGGCGCTCCGCGATGAGCGTGCACTTGGCGCACAGGCAGTCCTTCCAGCGGCAGTAGCGCTTGTGGCCCTTGAGCGCAGACACCACGCCGTGGTTGCGGCAGCGCGCGCACTTGGGCGTCCGCGGGTACTTCTCCGTAGCCCGCAGCAGCAGCGGCGGCGCCCGGAGCAAGCCGCCCGCCACGCTCACCGGTAGCGAAGCGGCCGCCGCCGCCGCCGCTGCCACCGACGCCACCGAAGCCACGGGCGGCCCCGTCGCTGTCGCCGCCGCCGTCGCCGCGCCGGGTACGCTGGGCAGCTCAGAGCGCAGCTCCATGGCAGGACCTGGCGTGGAAGACCATGGGAAGAGAGGAAAAACTTGCGGTGAGGAGCGCACGGTGCATTAAGCTAAAGCGCACCCTTGAGGAATCCAGGTTTAGAGAGGGGCATTTCGGCAGCGGACAGTTTGGCTAGCAGTTACCAAATTGCTGGGAGGAGTTGCTTTGTAGCCTCCTGGTAAATGCCCAGCTCCTTCACCCCACTCCCTTCAGAGTTCTTCTTATAACTCATTTATGCACTGTGGGTAGATTTCATTTGAATCAGTGGTTCCGCTGGGGAAAAAAGTTTGAAAGTCACTGGTTCAGATGACTGTAACGTGGGTTCTTTTTTAAAAAATACCCCCAAACTTTAGCATAACAGGTTAGTCGGGTAGAGAAGAATGTTTGTTTGATGGTACTCGGATTAGAGAGAAAAATTTGACCCAACAATTAGACTGATGCCAAGACCAACCAAGACAGGGAAATCCGGAGCGAAACGTTCTGTTTTGTAGAAGGGAGAAGAGGAGGGAGGTACTAAACCATGGAGATCAGCTGGTGGGGCTGGAACAGTTTTCGCTGGTGAGGGGTGAATGAGAGAGAGAAAAAAAAAATCAAGAATAGAAAGAACAAGAAAAAAAAAAAAAAGCTCTAGGAAGTGGAGTGAAGGCGAGGAAGTAAACTCAGGGGCAAAGTTAGGCCCAGGGGCCCGTGGGAATGTGGAGGCTCCAAATTCCAAGGTACGAGCCTCCGGAGAATAAAAGAAAATGGTTGTGAAGCTGAGTTTAGGAGACCTGGGGATGAGGATTAAAGAGAAAATTCAGAGCAAGAAACTTCTCTTCAATAGGCAAAGAAGATTACCATGAGAAGCGAGAAAAACAGCGAGTAACAGGTGATATTGGGGTCTGGGACCGAGGGTCCACGCGGGAGAGAGGTGTGTGAGTGAAAAAAAGAACCCTCAGGCATAGGCTGGGCTGGGGGATCGAGTAAAAACAAGTTTTTAGCCTTGAAGTCCGGAGAAGTCGGGGAAGAAAAAGTATCTTGCAGAAGTCAGGCATTGCAGAAGAGAGCCTTTTCGCTGAGCCACTCACCCAGCCCACCCCTCCCCTCCTGGTTTAGGGATCCAGTCGTCAGACACGCCCTCCCCATCCTGGGGCCCCGTGGGACCCCGCTCGGGAGCAGATTTCCCAAGTTCTGGTCTCGGAGTTGGGTTCGTGGGACTTGAACGGCCCAAGCTGGCAGGACCGAGGCGTTGGGAGTCGCCTCTGGAACTGGGTCTCGGAGAACACAGGAGTCCCCCCTGCGCCTTGGCCTCTGAAGGCCCAAGAAGGCCCAACTCTAAGCTTCCGCCGCGGCCTCCTCTGGGTCTCGGGATCCCGGCCTGAGCCCAGGACCGGATCCTGGTGTCTCCGCGCAAGAATTCTGGACCCCGTTCCAGTGAGCGTTGCCTCTTCCCTCAGGCCCCTCGAGCCGCGAAGTCCCTAAAGCCAGAGTGGCCCGGGTTTCGTCAACAGGGGCGGAAGGCCGGGCCGCGTCCCCCCGCCCTCCTTGAGGCCCTCAACTACCTGCCTTGGGCTCGGGGATCCTCCTCCGCGGGCGCTGCGCGCGCCTTCCAGCTCCGCCCGCGACGCTGGCGCTCTCAGCCTCTTCCCCTTGCCCCCGGCCCTTGATCTGACCACGTCACCCTCCTTCAGTCACCATGTCCGAACTTCCGGACCCCTCTGAACGCCGCGCAGTCCAACCCTTCCGTCGGAAATCGGAGCCGGGGGACCGTTTAGGGACCGACTGGCTGGAACCCGCGACCCGGCCCTCGCCGCGTCCCTTCACGGAGCGCGCCGGACGCTGCGCACAGCCGGGCCGCAGTTGCCCGGCTCTGCCAGACTCTCAATGAGCCGCTCGCCCGCTCTATTGTTGCTCCTTAGGGCTCCATTAGACAGAATTGGACAACAATGTGGCGCCTGCCATTGGCCAGGGGAGGCAGACGGCGCTCTGATTGGCCGGGCCCGCGTCCGGGGAGCCCCGCATTCTACAGTGTCCGAAAGATTCGAAACTCCAAAAGCTTCTCTGAGCGCCTCGGGGAGGGGAGGGGGCGCGCCAGGGAAGGAGTGGAAAAAAGTGGGCAAGGAGGAGCGTTGAAAATACCGTGACAAGTAGTTTCCGTGTGCCCGAGAGCGTGTGAATTGCGCCTAATTACCGTGTCCGGTGCGCCTCTACGTAGACGTGTGTAACCCTTCGGTTTCTGGGGCGCGGGCTCCGCTGCGCCGCTCTCACTGGCTAGGGGCGCTTGGCAAGGCCGACATTCCCAAGTAGCCCTGGCGGCCGGGGGCGGGATGGGGGCAGGTGACAATTCAATTACCGCGGCCGGGGTGGGGGTGGAACGGGAGCACGGGGGTGGAGAAGGGAGGGTGCTCATGGCATAAATGCCAGGACGATTTTTCCTGCCTTTATCCCTCTCTGTTTCGGCTTGCTCCCAAGTCCGAGGCGTTTGGGGTAGCTGAGACAATTTTTTCCCCCTTTGCCGCCTTTAAAATGCAGGTCCTTTATTTTAAAAGTCCTGATACGATAGGCATCACGGAGGGTAAGTGTGGCTTGACGATTTTCGTTTTTAGAAAGGAGCTGGGAGAGGAGAAAGATTGCGCTTCCTGTCGGCGCCCGCCCGGGCGGTGCGCTCTGCGCCTTTCCCCTCCCAGCCCCCCTACTCCGTCCTTCTGCCCCATCTTGCGCTTTCTTTTCCTCACTTTTGCAGCATCCAGATACCTTTTCCGTGGTGGTGGGATTATTTTCGTCGTTGTTTTAAGTTAGCAGTTTGATTTTCTTTTTTAAACGAAAGTAAAAAGTGGCCTCTCCGATTCCCCAGATCCCCTTGGACGCAGGACGCACATCAGTCTGTCCTTCCGGTCCGGAGACAAGGTCGCCGCGGGCCCCCAAGAGTAGTTTTAAACTTTGGTCACACTCTCCCGTCCTGACGTCACGGCTCTGAGGAACTGCTTGGTGCGCTGAGGTAACAGGTTTCGGATTTTATTTCCCTTTTGAATGGCAACATCTGGAATTAATGCCGCGGTCCTCGGGCGGGATCGCTTCGGGTTTTTCTGGCTCTGACTCTTTCCCTTTTCTTTCTGTCTTTTCCTCGTTCTAATGTTCTATCATTCTTTTTTTCTCTTTACTCCGAAAGTAAAGAAAATTCATTTAATTCATGAAAAAAGAAAAATGAATTTCCTGTCGTTCTCTCCACTCCCGACCAAGCGTTTCCGCGTTGCTTCTTCGAACTTACAGGGCCCCAGGTTCTGGCCCGCCGTCCTGGGCGCGGAGATTCGTCCGGGAGCCTCCGGACGCAGCCCTTCCCACCTGCAAGGTCAACTGCTGCCAGCGCAGCCGCCTCTGAGCCCGGGGCTGGGCAGCTGGGGTGGGAAGGCTAGACGCGCGGGGTTGCCACCGCAAGGCGCAGAACATCGCGCAAGCTCCTCCGCGAAGCCAAGCCGGGGACCCCGGCAGGGGAGGGGCTGGTGCGGGAAGCATTGCTTCCAGAAAGTTGACCAGGCCCGCGCGCGACATTCTCAGACCTTGACGGTCTTTGATAATGACAGAAACCGGGCTGTTCGCCCCCAGCAAATTCCACTCGCTGGAGCTGAGAGAGAAAGGCGTCAGCCCCCGTTGGGTCTCCCGCTCCGAGAGAGAGTAAGGGAGTGAGTCTGGGCTAACAGTTCCGCAGGGGCGTGGGACCCAGACCCCCACCTCCAGCACCTTGAGGTGGTGAGGTTAAGGAAATCTGTGCGTTAACTGCCCCCTAGCAGGGGGGGGCGGGGGTGGCTGGAGGAGAGAGAAGAGAATCTGGCCCCGGAGGCCAGGCGCCTCTCAGAGCTCCCTTGGATAAAGTTTTCGAGTCATTTTTAAACCTCAAACGAAAAGAAGTATAGACGTCCGCCTAGTTTGGGAGGGGGAGGGGAGGGCGTTGAGGCCAGGCCGCTGTGAGATTCCCCAACTCCCGTCCCAGTGATCCTGCGGCAGCCAAGGGTCAAGCCACGGGGTTTGGGGTCCCCGTGTTTTATCCTGCTGGTGTAGAAGGAATCTCATTTCCTTAAGAAGGGGAGAGGACACAGCCTGGACCCCTTCTCAACCAGAGGGAACCTGCCCATCCGGAGAGCCTGGCCTCTCTCCTCGCATTCACAACCCAACAGGTCCGGGACCACAACCTTTTCTTTAGATGTCTCTGAGGCTCTGATGTCCCCCTGTGCTCATGTGAGTGCGTGTGTCATGGAAGGAGTCAGAGTAACCGTCCTCCGACGAGGTGGCTGTACTCACACCTCCATAGGCCACTTCGAGCTAGTCCTGATTTGAGCTATGCTCTCAGAGGGGAGCAGACCGGAAGGTGGTCACTGGACCTAACCTCCAAGGGTGGGGAAAGCATGCCCAGATTGAGGCATTGGGGGCCATGCCCGTAACACGTGCCAGAGTATGGCTTCACAGCTGGACACACAATCTGCACGTGTGACCTCATTCTGCACAAGTCTTGGACACACCCTCACACCTGAGCACCTCAGGTGGTGGTGGTGGTTTAATTGCTTAGTCGTGTCCAACTCGTGACCCCATGGAATGTAGCCCATCAGGCTCTTCTGTCCATGGGATTTCCCAGGAAAGAAAACTAGAGTGGGATTGCCACGTCCTTCTCCAGGGGATCTAAACGCATCTCTGACGCTGCTCTCCCACCCCAGAGGACCCGTTCCGAAAGTTTGATGGACTTCACAGGCCTCTCATAAGCATGTTCTCATTCTGACACATCCACTCGGTGTGTGACCTCTCACCCTGAGGTCCACAGACTCCCACACAGGTGACTGAACACCCAGATCGGAGCATACGAACTTGCACCTGGCTCGTCCAAGGACCTATCCCAACTACTACAGGGCCCTGCGGGCCGCCGGACCCTGGGCAGAGAAAGTCAGACCTCTGGGACAAATGAGGTGCGGAGAACAGAAAGCCCGTCTTCACACAATCGCACACAGACACACTCGCTCACACATGTCCTCTTAGCTCAAACTCTTTTGCACACAGTTCTGCTGTGCCAAGATGTGGGGGCCCCGGGTGAGCCTGTCTGAGACTGGCCCCCAACCTTCGCCCCCGCCCGGGCAGCGGTGGGGTACAGAGGGATGGCCCCGCTGGGGGCCCAGGGGGAGACCGGGGGTGGGGGCTGTAGGAGGGCGCCGAGAGGGCTGGGGGCGGGGCGCGCTGGCGCTGAGTAGGAACCCGGCCGGGACGCCGCCGATGGGGGACCCGGAGGCACTGACTTTTGCGCTGTTTGCCCTCGGCCGCGGAGCGAGCAGACGCCATCTGTTTGCCGGCTGCGGCGCGTCCCGTTTAATTACCCTCCCGGCAGCCTAATAGAGATGATATTAAACTAAATCTTTCTGACATTAAAAGTAATTATCCCCAAATCAGTGGCTTCGGGACGGAATAGCCCCTCCCGTCCCTGCCCCTCCCCTGGCCGCGCCAGATTCCGTTAGTTTGGCTGAAACTCCTTACCGGGAAGGGGGCGCGGGGAAAAGAGGGAAAGTGCCTTCGGGAGAAGGAGTCTACGCGGGCCGCCCCAAGCACGCTGTTTCCAGCACAACTACAGACGCTCTTGTGCATATGACCTGCGCATGGACACACACACCTGCACACGCACAGACACACAACGACATCTTCCTCCGGATCAACTCGCGAGCTACGTTCATTAAGACTGTCTGCCGCGTGCACCCCCAGATGGACAGGGAGAAGCGCAGCCTGGTTTGCAGTCCTGGTCCTCAGCCCCTAAAATGGGCTTTTTGCATGGTCGAGGCCTCGGATCTGGCCTAGGCCAGGACCAAAGACCCAGATACAGGTTTGCAGCCACAAAGACCCTCTGCCATCGTGGCGCTTGACTTCTCAAGCTTCCTTCACGTGCGTTCGTGAGTCACAGCACGCTCTGCCTCTGAGAGGCAAGTCCTGTTATCCCACTTGACAGATGAGAAGACAGACTCAGAGAGGTGTGGTAACTTGTCCCACATCTTACAACCAGTACGGGACATAGCAGAATTCGAACTCGGGTGTACCAGGGAAGCCAGAGTCCAGGTTCTGCCGGATTCCAGGCGCGAGCTGGGCACTGTGGATGTCTGGGCCTGAGGCCCCTCTCGGAACCCTTACCCTGGCGCCCGCAGGACTGGCCTCTTCCCGGGCTCTCAACTCCCCCAGGGAAGGCGTGAGTCGGGGACCTAGCTGCAGGCGGAGGGAGCGAGGTCATCCACGCGGAGAGCGCGGCCGGAACCCCAAGGCAGAGCCTCAGCCGCCGCCCTCCTCTGGTTCAGGCCCTTGCCTCTGCAGGTCGCTCCCAGGAGGGGCGGCTGCCCTTTGCCGCCTAGCTTCCTATCTCCACATCCTTCTTGTTGAGCGCATCTGAGCCGGGGACAAACGCGCAGAGTGATGTTCATCACCCTCCTACTTGCTTCTAGTTTTGAGTGCCTACTATGTACCGCTACTCTGCTAAACGCTTGGTGTGTGCTGTCTTGCTTGTTCGCAGTCCCTGGGGGAGGTGGGACGTGCCGCCTTTCCGGATGAGTCGGCCGAGGTTCCAAGGTTCGGCGAGGCGACATGACTTGCACGGGGTTGTAGTGCTGCTGAGCCCAGAGGAAGACCGGCACCCAGATCCGACTCCCATTCCCAGGCGTTTTTCTTCTCACCTTCAGTTCTGGGCTGGTAGGGTCAGACCTGGGAGCTTTCAGTCGATTCCATTCTGTTCAACTCACTGGTTATTCACGGAAACGTGAACGTTGGTCATTCATTCATTTCATTCATATCGAGCACCTTGTAGTGCCTGGCCCTGAGGACTGGAGATAAATCAACCGCGATGGGCCCTTAAAGAGTTCATTGGCCAACTGTGGACC